CAATGTACTTTTCTGTTTCTCACTGCTTTAAATCTTTTATCCCCCACCCACTACTGCAACAGTCTTCTGAGTGGATTCCCACTGAGCATGAAGGCCAAATGTTTGAGCTTCGTCTTAAGGCCCCCGAATAGCCAAATAAAGGATACGACGGTATTCCCAGGATCCAAGGGTTTTATATATATTTCTGAGCTCCCTAATTAAACTCTAAGCTCCTCCAGAGGAAGGTCAGCATCTATGATGCTCATCTCTTTATCCCCAGCACCTAACCCAGCACCTGGCACATAACAGATTCCACAATTATTTGTGGAATGAATGAGTGATGTTGGTATCTTCTTCGGTCTACCACAAGGCATTCTGAATTTCCTGATTCTTGACCACCCCCAAAAGGATTGTAGGCCCCTCCTATGTGTCCCCACCACTACCCATACTTCTAGTGTAGTACTTATTACTTTATTATAATTGTTTGCTGCTCTTACCAACTTTCCACCTGCTATGGAGCCTGTAATACCTTAATACTTATGTAATACCAGGTCCTAACATAGAGCCTAGAACTCACTAAGAATGTGTTGGGAAGATGAATGGATCAATGGGGAAAGATCAACAGTAATTAACTCAATCTTTTAGGAACTCTCTCTTGTGACCAACTACACCCATCTGCCAAATAGATAAACGAATGAATGAATAAATGGATGAATGGATGGATGGGAAATGTTAGAGATGATGACTGTTGGAGAAGGCTCAAGTAACTTATAGAACATAGGAATCTTGTTTCTGGTCTGCATAGTACTTACTTGATCTTTGATCTTGGGAAAAGTCTCTTTACTTCCCTTTTTTTGTGTTTCTTCACCTGTAAAATAGATATTACACTCCTTTTTAGTCTGCCATTTAGAGCTCTTGACCTTGCTGCTTAATTATATTCTTCTATTACTCTTCTGCTCCAAAATGTGTCTCACCTAGGGCCTAGAAAAATACCACACACTAAAAAGCCCAGAAGTAGGTTGATACATATGTAGAGATAGAGACAGAGACCTAGATGGGAAGGTGGAACAGAAGAATAATTTTATGGCACTGAGATGTGGCTAGAGTGCTTAAATGAGATGTGCAAATCACAAATCAGTAAGGAAAGAATCAGTTTATATAATTATTTACACAAGATAAATTTATGCACAGCAACAGTAGCAAAGACAATGTTGTAAGATAAGATATAATCTGGGAAAAGATATTTGCTATGCACATAACACAAAGAAATGAATCAGACTCATACTCAAGGGGGATATACAGACCTGCATACAACTAATCACAGAAATTCCAATTCCCTATGTGGAACACTAGGTGATAAGGTGTGGATTTACAACTAATGACCTAGAAAGGGCACAGAACCCCCAGGTCACGTTGCCTAGAAAGTAACCCAAAGAGAAATAGGAACTTTACCTGCAGGATGGAAAAAAATCAAGTTCAAGTTCCAGATTTAGAGGCTGCCTGGCGAGTTAGCTTCAGTTACTTCTGGTCTCATTTGAAGGAGCTAATCTCGCCACACACACACACACACACACACACACACACACACACACACTCTCACACATGCTTTTCATCTGCACACATTTGCTTGTCTTATTCCTTTGGCCTATCACACATAGCCCCTCTTTGCCTGGCTCATGCAGACGTCTTCTCCTCAGGTTGACCCTTCTCTGACCCTTCTTTGTGCTACCATCTAAGGCCTGCCTCTTAAGGGAGGCACAATGCCCCATTAGGTATATTATATGATCTGCTTAACTGCCTGTTCCTCACACCAAACACCCCACCTCCAACCCCAGGCTGTGAACCACTCTAAGGCCAGGCCTGCGTCCTACATATTTCTCTATCATACAGCCCATTGAAGAGGCTCAAGGAACGTTCACTGAAATAAAGTGAACCATGAGCACAATGCTGCGGAGCACTTCATTCTATCTGGGGGAAGGAAGAAGGAAGGGTCAGGGAAGGTTTTGCGGAGCAGGTGACATTAGAGCTGGGTCATGAGAAATGAGAAGTTATCAAAGATAAACAACAAAAAGCTACAGGGGCATCTTCACCGAGATGAGGAAATCTCACCTAATATTATTTAGTGATAATTACCAGGTGAACGTTAGCTTTGCCAAGACAGGTGTTTTATCAGCTCCATTCAACAAAATATCCCCAGTGACTGCTACATAGTAAGCACTCAATAAATGTATGTTCAATCATTTGGACACTGAGGTGTTTATGGAAATAAAAATCACACAAGTGGTGCAATGTAATAGAGCACTATGTGATAATCTGAATGGGAATTCTACGAGAGTAGGAAACAGATCTGTGAAAGAAAAGAGCCACATGCTAACCTGACAAGCTCAGGGGAGGCCTGCATGCAGTCTTGCAAACCCAGAGACCTAAGATAACCACAAAAGATGGTTTGAAAATTAAATATCTAACAGGCTATAGTAGGTAGTCAAGTCCCAGATATTTCATCTGACAAAGATCAACTTTGATCTTTTACCGAGCCCATCTGCCTTCCGGCATCTAAGATAACATATCTGTGAGATGTCTGGGTAACTTGTAACTTCCTTTTTATACCAGACCCCTCAGGGCACAACAAACGGCCTCGAGACATTCCCTCATTGTTATTGTTATCAAGTTAATTGTCAACTGTTAATTATGTTAGAGTATCCTGTATCCATCTCTGTAAAAGAAGCTCATGTCCATCATTTCACCTTTTACCCTATCCCAGAGGTTTCCCCGATTCGCTCTGTCCCACCTCCCTAATCTATCACCAATGAATTTCATGTAACTCACCTACGTCCCTTTCCTTTGATTGCATTGTATAAATATAGAAATGTAACCCGCCATTCTCCGGAGCATTATCTCAATCCGTTGAGGTTCTGCTTCCCGGCACGTGTTGACAGTAAGGCTCAAATAAATTCACAAAAAAATTCTTTACAGGTTTCAACGTTTTTTTTTTTTGTTTGTTTTGTTTTTTTTTCGTTAACAGATCTGTCTTGATCCCCCTGTATCCCTTGGTATAGTTCTGGGCAATGTTACTGCTCAAAAAATTTTGTGCAAAAATATGTGAATTAGTAAAAATCTAGAATACTATTACATCCTAAAATTATACAAGCAGAGCAGCAGAGGGAACATACCATGCGTTTTGAGGTTAAAAAACAACAACACTTGGCTTCTAAATCAGGTTCTGATACATGCTATGTGGCCTTAGGTAAATTCCTTAGTTTCCTCACCTGACAGGGCTGTTAGGGGACAAAATGGATGTAGTGAAGGTGTGGCACAAGTCACACACACACACACACACTAGAAAAGAATGAGCTCTCTTCTTCAGAGCTGCCTACAGAGGGGGCAGCCATTTCCTATTCTGCCTCATGACAGCCCTCAGACCCCTCATGAAACCCAAGACCAATCATCAGAAACAGGACCAAGAAGCTCATCTATCACCAGTGGGGCAGATATGTCAGTTAAGCGGAACAGATAGACACCCAGAGGCATGGACAATCAATGCACAGGAGGTTTAAGGGCCAGACCTTGATGTCCAACACTGTTACACGGGAGCAACAAGAAAACAGAGCCCGTGCTGCCCAGGGGCTGAGAGCCACCGGCCCACACTGCCATGCCGAGGAGCTGGGAGTGCTGTAGACGTCCAACAAATCTTACTTTGCGGAGACCGTTCCCGACGCTTCCTCTCACAGCTGCAAAGCCATTGTGGACAGAGCGGCCCAGCTGGCCACTAGGGTCACCAGTCACAACGCCAGGCTGCACAGAGAAGAAAATGGACAGACAGCATATGGGCACGTTATATTGATATTTGAGTTTAATAAAACCATAAAATTCTCCCATCTGGCATTTAATATATCTATATCTATATCTATATCTATATCTATATCTATATCTATATCTATATCTATATCTATCTATCTATCTATCTATCTATCTATCTATCTATTTAAGGAGCTAATCTCAGTCTAATTGTAGAGCCTCTCAGCTCCACACTTTTTTAAAATACTAAAAAAAGAATTAAATCTTGCCATTTGCGACATGAATGGTCCTGGATGCTGTTAAGTCAGAGAAAGATATACCATATGACTTCACTTACATGTGTAATCTAAAAAAATACACAAAAAACGAACAAAACAAAAACAGATTCACAGAGATCAAACTGATGGCTGCCAGAGGGGAGGGGTCAGGGGAATAGGTGAAAAAGGCGAAGGGGAATATAGTCAATAATATTGTGACAACTTTGCACAGTGACAGATGATTTACTAGACTGTAGGGTGATCACCTCGTAAAGTACGTCAATGTCGAATCACTATGTTAGACGCCGGAAACTAATATACTATAGTATATATATATCCACTGAGCTTACATAGGAAAATAAGCAAATGCACACAGAACACTGCCTGGCGGACGGCAGTCAGTGAACCAGTTTCCTGTCACTCTCTGACAGGACCCACGGAAACATTACTAACGGTGAAGAGGACAGTCGCCAGGGAGAGTAACTGGTGCTGCCAGGCCTAGAAAAAGACGAAGAACGAGCTCCCGCTCGCCCGCCCTCTGGAGACACTGCCTTGGAGACCGGGGAGGCTCTAACCCCGCACGCCAACTAAGTTTCCAGCCGCACCGGCCTCCGGCGTCGCTTCCGCCTCCGAGGCGTTCGAGGGAGCGACCTCCCGGTCAGGCGGGATGCGCGCCTGCGAGCCTCACGGGGATCCCGGAGCCGCTCCACGGTGGCGCCTGCCACTACCTTCTCCACCCCTTAGTAACCGCGACGCCGCGGCTAAGCCCTCCCGGCAGCAACCGGCAGCCGGCGCGTCTAACACTACAAATCCCAGCAAGCCCCGCGGCCACGTCCGAGGTCCACCTCGCGTCAGCCCGCCGCGAACTACGGATCCCGACGGGCTCCGCGCGGCACGTCACGCCGGGGGGACTCCAGCCAATCGGCTTCGGACAAGTAGGAGTGGGAGGGAGACGCCTAGGCAGACAAGATGGCGGCGGCTGGACAGGGCGGGAGATCTGGTGGCGGCGGAGGCGGTAGTGGGGCTGGCGGCGGCTATAGCAGCGGGACAGGCAGTGGCCGCAGCGGCTTGTTGGACAAGGTGAGGACGCCGTTCTGGGGGACCGTCCAGGCCGGCGGCGGAGGCCTGGGAGGCGCGGCGAGCCAGCCTTCCCATCCCCGCCCCCCTTTCCTTGAGAGGTTTCTCGGGGGGAGTACTGGTCTGGGAACCCTACTACCCTCCAGACCCGGGCTCTTTCCTCGGCAGGTCTACTTTCCTTCTCGGAAGGAAGTGCTCCCGGTCCGTAATGCTGGTCACCGCAGCTTCTTAGGATAAGCTGATGGTTAACCTGAGGACTTCCACGTTTCTGCGCGGCCGGCGCTTTTCCTCGGTGGTGTCGGGGCTCCTGTTCCGTGTGCCCATTTCACCGACGGGGAAAACTGAAGCCCGAAGGAATGACAGCATCTGCTGGAAGGCGGTAGTCCCCAGACTCCCCACCACGACTCCCCCACCCTTGCGTATCGCTAAGGATTCAAGTTTCTAGGCGTTTTATCACAGATATCCCGACTACTGAACTTAATAATTGAGTATGGACTTCCCCTGCTGGACCGACAGGAAGCCTTTACGATTTATTTTTTTCTCTCTCGCCGTTTTCAACCCCTCACCCCCACCCCAACCCCCCACTTTCCTCTTCTTTCTGCTCGAGTCTAGGTGAATCGAATTTCGGGAGTTTGCTGCTTGCACCTGCTTTGCTTCTTTTTCCCTCCGCCCACAGCCACGTTTTTAAAAACTATGGTTCTAGCAATAAGGGTTGAAAAGAAAAGGAAAAAAGAAAGAAAAGAAAAGAAAAGGGAAAACTGTTTTTGGGTTGTTCCGTCTTGTCCTTTGCATGGCACAGCATCTGGGAAGAAACAATTGCCTAGAGATCTCCGTCCTAGTACTGGTTCTGCCTCCCCTCCATTAGTTGGGTGACCTTGAAATATGCTTATTCTTCCTATGTATTTCCTCGTCTGTGAAAGGAGGGTTTACTATACGCCTTAAGGTTCCTTTCAGTTCTGGCCTTGTAGGGCCCTGGGCCAGTTGGATGAGAAGTGTTAAGCATGGGTCTTTAATATAGTAAGTAATGAGTGTTTTTTACTTTAATTGGAAACAGATTTCAGACTTCCCGGTGCCTTACACATGGTGGGTGCTGAAGAAATGAAGACGTATCCAATCGAGGGATCCTGATCTTTTTGCTTCTCTTTTGGTGTCATCCGATTTGAATTATATAATTCTCACACTCGTTCTTAAAGGACAGAATGTGTTGAGGGGGATGGGTTCGGAGCACATTGTACGGAAACATGTGAAAACGATGGTCATTTTCACACGCAAACCCTGCCTTCCTGCTGGGTGAGCAAATTACTGCCTGTCCCTCCATTTGGATAACCATCAGCAAACATTAAGCACGGGCATTCTGCTAAGGTAGTGATTACTGAAAGGTACATGGCATCATTGTGTTTTTGAAAGAACCTGGATTAGGGGGTCATCAGATTTGGGCTTTGAAGTAGCTACTTTCAGACTGTATGAATGCTTTGTTAGCCTCCCTAAGCCTCCTTTTCTTCATCTGAAGTGTTAGGGGCTTGGGGAAAATCAATCGAGATGATAGGCATTAACGATCTCTCTAACCTATGGTGTCTAATACAAATGTGTGATGGCATAGGAATAAATCAAGAATCCTGTTGTCAGAAAGTACTCAGTATTGCTGAGTATAGGACATGGGATACCCAGAATATTAAACATAGAAGTTTTGGTGTATTTAGTTGTGTACTTTTTACAGAAGTTCAAATGAGAGATAATGATCCCTGAGATCTAATTGATGGGTGGGGGGGAGGGAGGGCGAGCGTAAGGCCCAGGGGATTACCTGTTGTCTGAAGTGGAGCTGGGATTTTATTTGGGGGGAGAGTGAGGGAACGCATATACCAGTTAATGTCCTTGAGCAGAGGTACACAAATAGTGCCTGATGTTTCCTAGGTAGTTAACATGATTGAAAGAAACCTGAAGGATTGACGAGGGCATGGACCCTTGCTGGTTTGGCTTAGTGGATATAAAGTGTCAGCCTTCAGCCCGAAGGGTCTCATGCCTGGGTTGCGGGCTCGATCTCCAGTAGAGCCAGTCAATGACTCTCTCTCATCATTGATGTTTCAGTCTTTCTTCCTCTCCCTCTCTGAAATCAATATAAATAAATAAGTGAAAAAGAGGGCATGGATTGCTTGAAGTAGGAGCAGGAAGCTGTTGAAGCTTTTTGAGACTAAAGTGCATTTAGGAAAATTATTCAGATAGTTCGGAGAGGTAAAAATTAAAAGCCTTCTAAGTAAGGCCTTATACTATAGTAGTTTATTGAGTTTAATGTAAAATGAAAGACAAGTTTAAGTTCTAGTGCTGCATGGCTTTGGATAAGTTACTTGGTATTCCTGAACTTAAATTTTCTTATGTAAATATTGTAGATGCTCATCCTCATATATAATGAAAGCCTAATATGCAAATTGTTCCCTCAGGCGGTCGTTTGAGCAGGAGTTCTACTCCTTGCTGTGATGTGCAGTGACCACCAGGGAGCGGCACAGAACATAGCAGGTGCATGTGATGCTCTGTGACCTCTCGATGGATACCTGAGGGCGAGGGTGATGGGAACAGAGGTGTGGTGAGGATTTGGGATGTCCATCGAACTCGCTCTCACTCCCTCTGTTACCCTCCCCCAGGATGCCAGGGCTCATGTGCCTGGGTAGCCCCATGCTCAGGTGTCAGGGGCCTGTGAGGAGCCCACCCCATACTGGAGTGGCCTCTGGCCTCTCCTGGGTGAGCCAGGCAGCAGCCGCCAGGACCGCAGGGCCAGTTGGCTCCTGTGGGTTTGCGCAGGAGCCAGTCTGGGAAACAGGCTGGGAGAGAGCGCACTGCCCACCTGGCTTCTGTAGGGCACCAGTGGGTGGCCCAGAGGCTCACACTGCGCCCCAGCCTGCATCTCCTCATGGTGCTGCCCAGGAAACGGAGTTCAGCTTGCGCTTTGATCACTAGCCGGGCCTAGGGACCTCTAGTATAAACATATTACAGGCTTGTTGTAAATATTAAATTGTATAATATTGGTAAATGTTCCTTGTAAAGGGCTATAAAAATAGATTGACAAGGTGATGAGAACCCTAAATTGAATAATAAGTAGGCGAAAATAGATAAAGGAACACTTAGCAGAATTAACCAAGAAGGGAGATAGAAATAAGTCAGGAGCTGTTTAGGCACTTCCTTTTGGAAAACTTCATTGCTGCCTTAACATTGAGCTGTTCCCCTTCTGAATTCTCTAGCATTCATGGAGCATGGGTATTAAGCTGTCACTTAATGTGACATACAGTCTTGTATTGTTATACCAATTTGTATTTGTCCATTTTTCTCATGAGAGGTTCTAGAGTAAGTACATGCAGTAGTGAATTAAACAGAGAAAAAACTTCAGATCTGCCACTTCAGTCATCAGAAACAGTCTTAGAAGATGGTGCTTCAAGTTGTCTGAAAACTGAGGGTGCTGTGGAAGAGAACAGAAAAAAATATTCTCAATGGAACAAGATCTGAATGAATAGAGAAACTTTTGCTCTGTGGGAATGAGAGACAGTATCTTTGATTTGTCTTGATTTTTTGGAGGGTTTTTATTTTTATATCCTTCAGCTGTAATTTCTCTTGCCATAAACAAATATAATAAAGCGATGCAAGAGTACTTATAGCTTTCCCTCGGCAGATGTGAATTTCTGTTCCAGAGAAAATGACTTTAACAACAAAACAGTTCTAGTTTCCTGGTCCTAAAAATAGGTATGCAAATATAATCTAAACTCCATCACAGAATAACTTAGATTATTGCAAAAAGTTATTTTGCCCAAAATACACCAAAGCATTTTGTTCTGCCTAGCAGACTATAAAGAAAAGTTGCTTGCTTAATTTGTTTTGACTATTAAAATTAATATGTTGTATTAAATCATTCTTTCCAAAACTAAATCCTTTTCTATCTCCTGACTGAATTTGTTTTGGCTATTAAACTGTGGTATTAAACTATGCTTTCTAGAAACTATATCTAGACCCTTTTAACCTCATAGCTGGATTTCTGTCTCTTGGTTGGACTATCAGCTAAATCTTAAAGTCCAGCTTTTATATCTTAGTAATTGAGAACACAAGCTCTGGAGCCAGGCCATCTGTCTCTGAATCCTGCCTGCCACTTACCAGGTATGTTCTTGGGCAAGTTAGTAAATCTGTTTATATCCGTTTCTTCATCTGCAAAGTGGGGATGATTATAGCATTTACCTTAAAAGGTGGTGTCTGGCACTTAGTAAGTACTCAACAAGGTACATGTAGCTACTGCTAACTAGCAGTTATTCTGGGTATATTCGCTTTCTTAAAATATTTTTCATAACATGATATGGAGACTGTTTTCATCAGACCCCTTCGGGATCACGGATAAAAATACAGATTTCTGAACCTCATTCCGGACCTGAATCTGATTCTCTAGAGGTGGGGCATGGACACCTGGATGTTTTCACATATACTGGTAGCTATTTATTTCCTCTGCATTTTAACAATTCTGGGTTGAAAACTGCTATTCTAGATGACTTTTTAAATCTCTTCTGGTTCTGACATCTTAAGGTTTTTTTTTATTAATTGTTCTGCTTAATCAATAGTGTTTTCTCTAAAATGCTTGTAATGAGGAGATCTTGAAGCTCATCCATTCCAACCTCCTCATTTTGTAGACATGGATACATTTGGAGATGGGAAAGAATCAACTTGCCCAAGACCACACAGTGCATTAGTAACAATCCAGAACCTGGCTTCCCCAGTTCTCAATCAGTTCTCTTACCTTTGTATGTTGCCTCTCATTCTGGAGCAGGCCATGTGCCAGCTAATGCAGTAGTGGAAAGAGCATCTGTTTTGAGATTGGAAGACTTGGGCTTAAGCCTTGGCTTTGCCACCTACCAACTGTGTTTCCTCTGTTACTCTCAGTGATGGTATCTTAGTTTGTCAGACTCCTGGATGGGATGCTTGTGTCCTGACCCAGCTCTGACAAAGAAATGAACAGTTTTATGGCATTACTGTAAGTGTGTGTGTGCTTAAAGAAGCAAGGTGGTGCCTTGGTCTGTTTTGCTCAGTGGTTAGATCATTGGCTTGCACACACTAAAGATCAAAGTTCAATTTCCAGTCAAGGGCACGTACCTGGATTGTGGGTTTTATCCCTGGACCCAGTCAGAGAGGCAACCAATCAATGTGTCTCCCTCCCATCTATCACTCTCTCTCTCCCTCCTGCCTCCCTTTTACTCTCTGAAAATTAATGGAAAAAATATCCTCAGGTGAGGATTAAAAACAAAAAAAGAAACAAGGTGCTGGCTTTTTTAACATAGTGTTGCAAACTAAACTTTCCTTATTTTTTACTTCAAATTTAAAAACATGTTTGTGTCAAAGGACACTATCAAGAACGTGAAAAGACAATTTATAGAATGAGAAAATATTTGGCAAATTATATATCTAATAAGGGTCTAGTGTCTAGACTATATAATCTTATATAACTCAATAAAAAGTCCAATTTTAAAAAGAATAAAAGGTGAATAGCTCCACAGAAGATATATAGATGGTCAACAAGCACATGAAAAGAAACTCAACATATTAGTCATTAGAGAAATTCAAATCAAAACCACATTGAGATACCACTTCATATCCACTAGTCTTATATAACTTAAAAAACATATATATATTTCGTTGGTGAGGATGTGGAGAAATTGGAACCCTTTTTATTGCTGGTGGGAATGTCAAGTGATGCAGCTATTTTGTAAAACAGCGTATTAGTTCCTCAGAAAGTTAAACATAGAGTTAACATATGACTCTGCATATTCCACTCCTAGGTATAAACCCAAAAGAATTGAAAATATAAATCTTGCATGAAAACATGTATGCAAATTATAATAGCAACATTCTTCACAATAGCCAAAGGGTAGCTGCAACCCAAGTATTCCCCAAGTATTCGTTGACAGATGTACTATAGTATGTATAAACAAAATATTGTATATCCTTGCAATAGAATATGTGGCTAAACAAAGGAATGAGGTACTGATACCTATTACAGCCCGGATGAACCTTCAATACATTATGCTGAGTGAGAGAAGTCAGTCACAAAAGGCTGCATATTGTATGATTCCATTTAGTATATAAAATGTCTAGAAAGGGCAGATCCATGCAGACAAAAAGTAGATGAGTGGTTGCCAGGGCCGGAGGGAGGCTGGGAGGGGAGTGACTGCTTATGGGTATGAGGTTTCTTTTTTGGGTGACGAGTGTATTCTGAAATTAGATAGTGGTGATAATTGCACAACCTTGTGAGAATAATTTAAACTACTGGATTGTACATTTTAAAATGGCAAGTTTTATAGTATGTGAATTGTATTTTAATTTAAACTCTTTTTAAAAATCTTTATAGTGCTTACTGATTAACCTATGAAGCTTCAAATTATTAATATTATTATTAACTGCTTATTTACCGTTTTGTAGCTCAGTGATATCACAGAAGTTAATAACTTCTATTTGCCTGGTCCTTTTTTGGCTGTTGTCTGCACCATTTCTCTGCTGTGGCCTCCCTCTTGTGAAATGTCAATGATAGTTTTTCATATTACTCAACCTATTTGACTCAATGATCACTTCATTCTTGACATGCTTTCTTTATGTGGCTTCAAGAACACTTCTTGTTCTTGGTTTTCTCCCACCTTCACTGGTCTCTCTATCATTTATTTATTTATTGTTTGTTTATTTATCTAGTCTTCTTCCTGGCCTGTAAATATTTGGCAAGTCTCTGGCTCTCTTCTCTATCTACACTCATTTCAAAGAGATACCCAATGTCATGGCTTAAATATAATCTGTAAGTTGATGACTTCCACATTTATGTTTCCAACCTGGACCTCTCCTCTGAGCCTATCCAACTGTCTACTTGTCATCTCTGCTTAAATGGTCTAATATATATTTTTATTTTGTGTATGATAAATATATAATAATTATTGCTATAAATACTGCTATGTTTATAGCCTTATATATTATTTCATGTTGATGTGGATATGGAAGAATGTCCAGAAGTGGGAACTTGAATCCAAGGTGCTAAATTGTCTTCTATAGGTGTTGTAACATTTTCAATTTCTGCCAACAATGTGTGAGAGAATCACTTGCCTCTAAGTAGCACAGTATTTGATAATCTTTCTCAACCTCTGCAAATGAGGGAAATTGAAGCAGGGTTTGTCCAAAAGCACAACTCACTGGTGATATAACTTGGTTTTTAATTAAAAAAATTTTTTTCAACAGATTACACTGGATTTGCTGTTTTCCTATAGTTAAGACATGCTGGTAAAACATAAAAGTTGTTTGCTGATGAAGATACCCTGTTTCCTTGAAAATAAGACAGTGTTTTATATTAATTTTTGCTCCCAAAGATATGCTAGGTCTTATTTTCAGGGGATGACTTATTTTTCCATGAAGAAGAATATGGTACACATTTATTGTTAAATGAAAATAAAGGAAATTTATTACCTGTATACGGTACGGTAGTACGGTAGTTGTCAACACAAACCAGACAAACTGTGAATCCTACAGTATCAAGAATTTACTCATTTATTCAATGACAATCATGTCATCATCTTCTGGAACATCATCATAACAATCCTCCTGAATTTCCTGGTGAATTTCTTGTGACACCATTTCTTTCAGAATCAGTGGACCAAATCTCTCATGTTTAGCCTAGGGGGCCTTATTTTCGGGGGATGCCTTATATTTCACTCAGAAGGAAACCTGTAAGTAGGTCTTATTTTCAGAGGTTGTCTTATTTTTGGGGAAACACGGGTACTAGTATATTAAGGAGATCTTCCTCATTTTATTAGTGTCTAAAAGTTCATATATATATATTTTTTTCTTTTTTTTTTTTTTCTGAATTTTGTGGTCACAAATGAAAGGATAACTAAGTGGAGATCTTTTCTGTGCTCACATTTGGGTAGAACAGGAATGGGATATGTGAGTTCACACTGTAGTCTCTGTAGCCCATGTACAGATTTTTTACTTCTCAGCATGGAGATTCGCAACATGCTGAGCACCACCTGATTCTAGTGACCCTACTCTCCTTCACCTTCATTTCTAAGTGTTCTGTCTTTAGATGTCCAACATCGGAAGAGAAAGAGTAAATGGTACTATACTTAAGTATGTCCTTAAGGAAGTAGTTCGTTTTACTTTCAGTAAGATGTCATATTTCTTGATGTACAACTCTTTATTTTATAGTGGAAGATTGATGATAAGCCTGTAAAAATTGATAAATGGGATGGATCAGCTGTGAAAAATTCTTTGGATGATTCTGCCAAAAAGGTACTTTCTTGAGGTGGTGGGTCTGTTAGTGTGTATATAGGTGATGGCTCATCGGCAGGATCTTTTTCTCTGTCACTTTGAATGACCTTAGTTTTCCATGTTAGGAATTGAGCCAGAAAGCAGTTTCTAAAATCCTTACAGTGTATGTGGGGGAGCGTGTGTAAAAATATAAATGTTAGCTACCTAACATTTCAGTTTCAGAAACCTGTTAATCTGTTGTTTTTAAGTTGATTAGCTAAGAGCCGAGAAGATTGAGGGAATATAACACATTCATTTATGATAGTTCATCTCTCTAATTAAAAAGGGAAAATAAAATTTTAGTTTCATCCCAGAGAATAAGTTGGAGATTTTAAAAAACATATGAGAAGTTGATGAACTTTTTCTCTGGGATCTGTTATAAACAGCTTGAGTCCTTTTGCTTGGAATGATAAAATTCTGATTAGAAAGAAGTAGTTAGTAATTTATATGATTCCAATATAGCTTTCGTCTTGAAAATTAAGAATAAAAGCAGATTCTAGGAAGGAAGCACTCCTGTTAGCTTGATTCTTGTTCTTCTCATTAGGTACTTCTGGAAAAGTACAAGTATGTGGAGAATTTTGGTTTAATTGACGGTCGCCTCACCATCTGTACCATCTCCTGTTTCTTTGCCATCGTGGCTTTGATTTGGGATTATATGCACCCTTTTCCAGAGTCCAAGCCTGTTTTGGCGTTGTGCGTCATATCATATCCTTTATTTATACTCAGGTTTGTTTTCTAGTGACTATTTTAAAATCTTCACTGTTAACCTCCCTGTTCCTTATAAAAGACAAACTTGGATTTGGGGCTCTGCCATTGTTAGAATTTAATATTATCATCTATGGGAATCTGTAAATTTATTTAGTAATTATCACTAACATTTTATATGTTTATTTTTGTCTTTGATTCCATTTAGTTATTAATAGAGGTAATAATCCAAGTGTGAGCACCTGATAGCAAAAAACAGTTTTTTGTTTTATAATAACTCTTATTTCTAGTCTAGAACTTTTCCCATTAGACCAGGTTGCTTCAAGCCACTCATTCCAGGATATTAGGAAAGGATCAGATTTTGAAGGTTAGATCTGTGTCAGGTTTCCTTGAAGCTGAGAGGTGGACTTGGAGTTACTGAGCATGAGGTATAAAAGTGGAGTTTGTGTAACCGTGGAAATAACCTATTGTGGAACTAGAGAAACCTGGGTTTGAAATACAGATTGTTTTGTGATCTTGTGCTAATAAGAACTCCTTTTTGGAACTGTTTGAATGTTACTTATTTGTAAATTATGAGTAATATACACTCAGAATTATCATTTTGGTAGGCAGTTTACTTTTCTTAACAGTGTTACTGCAATCTGAAATATTTCTAAAATCTTCACTTCAGGAATTTCTCTTCAAAGGTATTTTGCAAGCCATTTAACCAGGTTCTGATAAAAAATGGTATTATCCAAATTGATCCCAAGTCATAGTCCTCAGACGTGGCATCTACAAATCATTCCATTATGAAATTTTTCGCTATACTTTCCTGCCTCTCACTGTCATAAAATTTAAATTATAGTGTGTACAAAGCTCATGTCAATTTCTGGCACATAATAGGTTCTCAAAATAGTAGTTAATACTGTCAAAAACCGAAAATAATAAGTTCCATGTATATGAAGTAGTTGTTCTTATAGTAAACTAATTTCAAGTCACTTATCTTCCCTTTTAATGCCTCATGAAATAGGTTGAATTTGGTTAAGTTCACTGTGATTACTATTAGTTTTGTATTTTACAGAGAAATAAGCACAAGTCTTGACAAAGTAGTAACATAATCTTCTTATATCTGCTATCATTGAACAGAAAAGATAAGAGCTGGTTTATGCTCTTCCTTTTTGAAGTTTCCCTTTTAAGTATTCTAACCTGAAAGCCTTGCTTCTCTTGGTGCATAAACATAAGGATGAAAATGAAATGGCTAAATATTAAGTGTTTTTACAGCAAGAAAGAACTTGAGTACTTTTTGTAGCCCTTGCTTGTTAATATGTGTTAGTTCTCTTTTGTGAGTATATTTGTGTGTTTTCCCCTTAACCTTATTCGAACCTATTTTGTGATGATGGGGATCCTGACCATTTATACCTCATATAAGGAGAAGAGCATCTTTCTCGTGGCCCACAGGAAAGATCCTACAGGGATGGATCCTGATGATATTTGGCAACTGTCCTCCAGTCTCAAAAGGTATGACTATCCTCACAGATTCTTAAATCCGGTGTTGGCTTTTCCATGGGTGTTGAGTCATCAGCAACAGACTTCGTATGCTTACTCTATGCAGATCATACTAGTCATGTAAAATGAAGAAAGGATTATGAATGATCTATAAAGTTTTTCTTGGCATTGCAGTTTTGATGTTGCATTATCACAGATATGCTCTGAGGATAAACTCTGGGAGAAAGTACTTTGGCGGAGAATTACCTGAGTCAATTAGGATACAGAATTATAAAGGCCAAAGGTATAAAGTCAGTATCTTTGAAGAATTCCATTAGCTTCCATTTCTTCTTTGCAATCAGGAATCTCTGAAGCAATATGCCAGGCAACTCAGAGAAGGACAATTCAGTCTGTTTCTGACCAGCAGTAGGTATAACTTTGTCCAGCTGACATCTGAGATCTTTTTAGGTATCTAGAATAGGGTTCAAATTCCAGCTGTGTGACTTCTGGTATGTCATGTAAACTATGAGCTTTAGGAGGGTCAAAAATGACTTGTAGAGTTGTTCAGAAGAGAGATACTAGTTATGATAATAGCAGATTTCTATTGAGCACGTAATGGTTTTTGTGCTAAGTTCATTATCTCATATAAACCTTAGAACAGTGTTTCCCAAACTTTTGACATATGTGTACCCCTTCTATAATTTTCGTAATGCTGAGTACCCCTCGTTCTCATGAGAACGTAGAATTAGGCACAGCTAAGCATGGTGCATATCCCGACCAAACTCCGGTGCAACGCGTACCCCCACCAAACTCTTCCTGTACCCCTGGGTGTATGTGTACCACACTTAGGGAAACACTGCCTTAGAACAGCTCCTTTTTAAAATAACACAGGCCCAAAGAGTTCGATGAATTATTATTTAAAAATATATATATATATATTTTATTGGTTTTTTTTTGTTTTTTTGTTTTTTTACAGAGAGGGAGAGTGATAGAGAGTTAGAAACATCAATCAGCTGCCTCCTGTACACTCCCTACTGGGTATGTACCTGCATCCAAGGCACATGCCCTTGGCTGGAAACAAACCTGGGACCCTTGAGTCCTCAGGCCAACGCTCTATCCACTGAGCCAAACCATTTAGGACTTGTTTAATTCTTTCAGGGTCATACAGCTCAAAAGTAAATTCTAGCAGGTATTCCAGCCCACGCCTGAGCCAAGAATTCATGCTCCTTTTTTTTTTTTTTTTAAGATTTTTAAATTTATTTTTTAAAGATGAAGGAGGGGTGGGGAGCAGAAACATCATTGTAAGAGCAGAACATCGATTGGCTAATTCCTGCACACCCCCTACCAGAGATCGAATCACAGCTCAGGCATGTGCCCTGACCGGGAATCAAACTGACAACCTTTTGGTGCACAGGGTAATGTCCAACCAACTGAGCCACATCAGCCAGGGTAGAATTCATGCTCTTAGTCATAATCCTAAAAACATGGTACAGTTTCTAGCATATAGTAAGCTCTCAAATCACAAGTACAGTTATTCACAAATAGAAGGTAAGTACAGCATCATTATAAAAAAGCTTTTCGTTACCAACTTGTTGAGATGCCTGTGAGGAGAAGCAGACCTTCCTTCTGATGTGGCAGCTGAGTTCTTATCTTCTGGCAGAGCTCACTGAAACATAGCTGCAGAATTCTAGCCCCTAATATCATCTTGACTTCATTATTTTCATTCTGACTTGTGTTTTTTAAGCAGTTTTATTGAAATATTATTCATATACCATACAGTTTACCCATTTAAAGTGTATTCAGTTCAATGGTTGCTAGTGTATGTACAGATATTTGCAATTGTTACCACAATCAATTTTAGAACATTTTCATCACCTCACAAAGAAAGCCTATACCCTTACAACCTTAAGTAACCATTCTACTTTGTGTTACTATAAACTTTCTTGTTTTGGATATTTATATGAATGAATCTTATAACACGTGTTTTCTTTTGTGACAAGCTTCTTTCACTTAGCCTAATGTTCTCAAGATTCATCTGTGGCATAGCATGTGTCAATATTTCATTCCAACCTACCTACCGTATTTCATTTCATGCTGAATAACATCCCACAGCATGTATAAATTGCATTTTGCTTACCCATTTATTAGTTGGTGGACATTTGAGTTGTTTCCATCTTTTGGCTGTTATGAATAATGGTGCTCTAAACATTTGTGTACATTTTTGTATGGACATGCATTTTCCTTTCTTAGATAATATAACTAGGAGAGGAATTGCTGGATCCAATTTTAACTCTTTTAAAATTGGTTGAGGAAATGACAGATTGTTTTCCAAAACAGCTGCACCATTTTACAATTCCACTAGCATTATATAAAGGTTCTGATTTTTCCATATTCCCTGCTGAATTTTACTAACTGCCACATTATTAGTGCCTGTGAAGAGGAAATAATGGCACCTCTTTTCCTTCTGATTGCAGTTAAATATAGACCCACTTCTCTTTTCTTGAAGAAAGCTTCTAGTTCATTGGCACTCTAGAAAGATTTCCAGAAATCTTAATGGATGATTATTCTGGTACTTCAGCCTCTCAGTTTTACTTTCTCTTTTCTGATTATCTTGTTTTCTACCAAGTTTTTTTTTTTTTTTTTTTTTTTTTCCCCCCCACAGACAGGGAGAGAGAGAATCATTGATTAGCTGCCCCCTGCATGCTCCACACTGGGGATCGAGCCCACTACCCAGACATATGCCCTGACCGGGAATTGAATTGCAATTTCCTGATTCGTAGGTTGATGCTCAACCACTGAGCTATGCTGGCTCAGCTCTACCAAGTCTTAAGCACTTATTTCCCTGGTCATATACTATACCTACCATGTTTCCCCGAAAATAAAGACATCCTCCGAAAATAAGACCTAGCGCATGGAAAGATAAGACATCCCCTTTAAATAAGACCTAGTGCAACTTTGGGAGAAAAAAATAATATAAGACACTGTCTTATTTTCGGGGAATCAGGGTAGCTATTACTGATACATAAGTACCTTCAATAATTTCAGTTTTAAGTATCCCACTCTCTGGCCACTGCTTCATAGTCTATCTCCTTGTAGTTTTTTTGTCCTAACAGTTCTTCAGCTCCATTGGCTTTCCTTGAGCCTGCCACCTTTTCACTTCACTGTCCCTCTTCCCCTCACTTTCTCCTTACCCATCTTAGGTTTCATGGCATTTCTATAGTCCAGTTGCTCTCTCACTGTCTAGAGGATCTTTCATACCTTCTCTGTCTTTGAACCTCTTCTCCTCCTGCACCTTTAGTCTCAGCCTCTTTTGTTCCTGAGAAGATGGAAGCAACCGGAAGTCTTACGTCATTACCTGCTCATCATATTCCGCTTTTTTAAGTTCCAGTCTGATGCTGCCTCTCCATTTGTCCACTAGATTCTTACCCCTTCTCATTGACTTGATGTTTCTCCTTCTGCTGAATTATTCTTTCTAACATACAAACACGCTGTAATTTCTCCCAATTAAAAAAGTTGTTCTCTTTCTCCTTACTCTTCTCGCACGTTGTTCTCATTTCTCTGTCCCCTTTTCTTCTCCCATTATCTTCTGATCTGCTCTTCTTCACTTCTCTTTCCTAATTGTACTTGACCTATCAGCAGCATTTGACACAGTGGATCACTCTCTCCTTGTTACACTTTCTTTTTAAAATAGGCTTCTAGGATAATCTTCTAATTTCCTTCTTACCGTAATGTCTGTTTCTTAGTCTTATAATCCTTCATTATTCCCTTTCTCTAAATTTGAGATGCAACCAGTGCTTGTTCCTAGCACCTCTTCTCTATATTTATTCACTAAGTGTAATCTTACTACACTTTCAAGACTTTACCATCTATATAATGAAAATCTTTAAATCTGAGTTTTCATCCTATCCTCTACTCTGAATTCCAGATGTTTCCCAGCTTTCTATTTTACACTAGATCTTAATCAGCATTTCAAAATGAACACATCTAAAACATAATTCTGCAATTCCCTCATTTAAACCTGCCTCAATAAATGGCAACTCCATCCTTCTAATTACTTAGGTTAGAACTCTGGAATCATTTTGACTTAGCTCTTTCAGTTCTTCCAACAAACCCTGTCAGCCCTACCTTCTAAATATATTCAGTCTGACAACTTACCATCTCCTCTGCTACTATCATCTCTCAATTAGGTTACTATAATAATGTCCTAATGGACCTCTGCAGTTGCTCTCCCTGCCTGTAGTCTGTTCCCAGTACAACAGGCCGAGGGACCATTTTTAAAATAAGGCAGATCAATTCAATTTTCTGCTCAGAACCCTTACTCATAGGGAAAAAAACAATCCTAAAATCTTAAGCATAACTTAGAAATCCATACTAATTTTTTTCTGCACCCCATATACATATGCAAACCCACCCCTCATATCTTTTGGCTTTTAGCCTCCTACTCTATTATGTTCTTTCTTATTGGTCTCTTTTCTGTTCTTCACACATTCCAGGCATGTTCTTGTCTCAGAACCTTTGCATTTGCTGTTTCCTCTGCTTGGGATAGTCTTTTTTCCAGGTAGCTTGTTTTATTACCTTTAGGGCTCTGCTCAGGCATTGTATTTTTTTACTTTATTTTTGGTTTCCTTACACACATTAAACTAAAGGTTTGTCCTTATGTTCACTGCTCTATATCCTTAGCATGTAAAACTACCTGACATGCATAGTTGGAGCTGAATAAAATATTTATTGAATTAGTGATTATTTCTAAAATGCGTTAGTTTACAGCTCATCAGATCATGTTCTGCCATCAAAACCATGGAACTGCCAATGGAACTGGGTCCAAAAGTCCAAATATTGGTGTGATATCAGCAGTAGTTGGTCAGAGCTTGAAAAGTCTTCACTCCTAGCTCTCCAGGTGTGACAAATAATAGGCTAGATGACAGTTATTAAGCTATCGGTTTGTTTTTTTCTTCTCAGCACTGGTTAATGATAGGTATTTTTAACCATGACAGTGATCCTGAAAAATATGTGATAGTTTTCTATTTTAAATGCATAGAAACAGGCTAAAACAACTGCTTCCTTTAAAGGTAATACCAGCCTGACAATCCTTTGAATCTGCCCTAGTTAATTGGAGGCAGAAATAGGTGGGAATAGGGGAAGAATGTCAGCCCGCCAGAGGTTGATGTAAACCTTTTTGAATGGATGGAGATAGTAAAGGCCTTCAAGATTCCTTAAGGTCTAGCTAAGGAACCTCTAGAATTCCTGGAGCAAAAGACACCCCTTGCCTAGCATCAGGGTAGAACATGGAGCTAGATTGATTACAGGGTCTAAGGACTGAGCAGCCTGGAATTGGGGAGCATCTCTGAAAACAAAGGTTCTTTATTTACTTATAAAAATATGATTGCCCAGCAAGTGCCAAGCTAAGAATAGAATACAAAAAAAGACAAACATTTTGCCCTCAAGAATCTTTTGAGTCCAGTGAAGTATACAGAAAGTAAATAAAATACAAATACATAAACATTATTTCTTTAGGTAATTTCATTGATTGCATGGGAGCCAATCATTGAACTTGGCATATGATAGGCACTCAGTATTTGACTATTGATTGATGGTGCTGTGCAAGACAAAGGGAGAAACACCTGACCTAATTTGGGAAGGCTTTCTCAGAGAAGTTTAAGACCTGATACTAACAAATTGGAGGCCCTCTGGTGGGGGAAGGGGACGTTGTCTTCTCATCTTGGCCTGTGCCCTCTTGGGGTGCAGGCCTAAGTTGCTGGCAAACATCCCCCGAGGGATCCTTAGTGCTGCCTTGGAGGCGGTCTCTGAGGTGGGAGAGATTCCTGCCACCACCACTGTGCTCACCGACCTTGAGCCTGGCTTTTGACTGAGTAGTGCTCCCCCTATGGGAATGCACTGATCACCAGGGGCAGCTCCTCTGTCGAGCATCTGCCACCTGGTGGTCAGTGCATGTCCTAGCGACCAGTCTTTCCACAGTTTGGTTGATTTGCATATTAGCCTTTTATTATATAGGATGGGAACCAGTCAGTTGAGATTGGGGAGAAGTGGCTACTAGGAAGACCCGTCTAGCATAACAAGTAACAAAGTCCAGAGGTGAAAGAAGATGTTCCAAATGGCTTAACAGTTTATGACAAGAAAGATAAAAGACATATACAGTAATTAAATCAGGGACCCAAAGCAACACCTATGAATGAGCGTTTGTATCTTGAAGGCAGTTTTTTGAGAGAACTCTTTGTGTAGGCTTCTCACCTTTATTCTTTGAAAATACTTGCTCTTGCCGAAACCGGTTTGGCTCAGTAGATAGAGCGTCAGCCTTCGGACTGAAAATACTTGCTCTTCTATTGCTGGGTGAATTTCTTCCTTTGGTTTTTTATGGTTGCTGATTTATTATTTTTGCTTAGGTTTGATGACCAATACACTCTGAAGCTGACCTTCATCAGTGGGAGAACAAAGCAGCAACGGGAAGCTGAGTTCACCAGGTCCATTGCTAAGTTTTTTGACCACAGTGGAACACTGGTCATGGATGCATATGAGCCTGAAATATCAAGACTTCATGACAGTCTTGCTACAGAAAGAAAAATAAAATAGCCAATTCTAAAAGCAGCCATCTTTTTGCAAGATTGTTCAAAATTATGGGGTGAGAAGGAAAGAAGTAAAAAAACGTTAAATGTTACTGTTTTGTCCTGAAATTTAGTCATTCTGGATAAATAGGATTTTCTATCTGAGATATGAGAAATTATAGCTCTGATGTCTAGCTGTAGCTTTCTTGGTCTGCTGATTATACTGTTTTCATTTGCTTTTCTGGAGAAGCATTTTTGCTAAAAACTGAACAGACTTTCTCCTTCATATCTAGCAGAATAGTATAGCTTTGAGCCATGCAGTGTATTAAGACTCAGTTTGTAACCCTTTGCACTCCGCTGTCCCCTCTCAGGGGACATCGGAATTCTAGCATATCACTCGGATGTCCTTTCTCAGGGGACATTGCAGTTTATTAGTGATTACGGGGAATTGAGTTAATTCAATGCACGTTTCGCAAAGTAGCGTCGAGTAGCTGGTAGCCAATGTCCAGAATGGTTCGGAGTGCAAAGGGTTAAAATTGTCAATCTGTTGTTAATTCTGGTTTTGATAGCTGTTTTAATTGTATCCTTAATTCAGGATACAACTACTTGTACACATCTTCACACACCGTTTTTTGTGGTGTGTATATATCTGACGAGGCGAATTGGGGAAAAAACCCAGCTTTTTAATTTGTTTAAAATAGACCTTCTGCCTGTTACATTTTGTGTGCTCTTAACCAATTAAAGAAGCCAATGACATTTTTAGTTTTATATTGTCTATGCTCTTCACTAGTATATCCCTGTTGATTTGCTGATTTGTTTGTGTCCTTTATTAACTGCCATTTTCTAAAAATTTTTTCAATAAAAAGAAAGAAGATATGAAAAAATTGAGTTTTTGATGGTTAGTTTTGATGGAAAGAACAGAGCAGCAAGTGTTAACAGTCTTACTTTATCATAGGTTTCTTACATTCTAGGCTGTGTTATTGGTCAGAGACCCCTAAGAACCTGTAGTGAGGAACTGGTAGCTTTCCAGTGATAACAATGACATTCAGTACTTACTTTGTCAGGTAGTGTACATGTATTAACTCAGTAATGCTCACAACGATCCTAAGAAGTAGGTATTATTATTAGCCTCATTTTATATATAGCTTGAGGGAACTGAGACACAAAAGTTAGTGATAGAACTGGGATTTAAACCTGGGTGATCTGGCTCCAAAATTGTGAACATCTTCTTTTCCAGATTTTCCTACTGTGGTAGAGCAGAACTGAGCACTTTCCTAGATCCTGTGAGCTCTAAAGATATTGTCTCTCTATCCTTACAAAAGTATAATTCTCGCTGAACCTAGTACCTAAAACCTTATTCACTTTATAAAACATCATGCTTATCATAATTTGCTCTTTGACTTGGGAATGTGGCCCCCTACCTAGTGTCACACTGAGTGGTGTGGAACATCAACAGGTGAGAGTTTTATTCCTGACAAGCTGGTGAGTCATGTAATTCCCTCAGCTTCTAGGGCCCTCTACTCCCACAACTGTTTTTAGATGGTAGTTCTGTTCTGTAAGCTATTCTGTCAGCTTTTGAAAGAGTGTAATTGGATAATGGTATTTTCATAATGAAGGAGTTAGAGTTATAGTTAGACACGGGGTCCCAAGACTTGTGTTTGTGGACAGGTAATAACCCTCTCCAAGATCATTTCTTGGTTTTGCATAGTTGGATATACCTTTTTCTTTTACATGTATAAACATGTTATCTTCACTTTTTAAAAACTCTTTATTGAAAGAAACGAGAAAATTACTGAGATAATGCATGATGCTTGGTTTTTTTTTGTTTTTTTAAAAATATATTTTATTGCTTTTTTACAGAGAGGAAGAGAGAGAAATAGAGAGTTAGAAACATCGATGAGAGAGAATCATCTTTCAACTGCCTCTTGCACACCCCCTTCTGGGGATGTGCCCGCAACCAAGGTACATGCCCTTGACTGGAATCAAACCTTGGACCTTTCAGTCTGCAAGCCGATGCTCTATCCACTGAGCCCAACTGGTTTCAGCCATGCATGATGCTTGTTAAGGAAGAATGGCAACTATCGGTTTGTCTCATAGTCAACCACATCCTATATTCTATCATGTCAACCATAGATCCATTTAGAGACAAGAATAAATGTCTCAATTTTTTTTTTTGCAATGGGCCTTGCCTACTGTAAAGGAGCTTTGAGCCTTTGGGGGTGCATTCCCTTTGACAGATTCTTCCGGGAACCAGTGATGAGTATTGAATAGTACTCTGCCTGGATTTGGTTTGTAATGCTATTGAAAGTGACCCACTGAAGAATGAGAAACTCCTGGGAGAGGCAATCTGTCACAGGCACCGAGTATTCCACTTGGAAGACTACAGAGTGTCAAAACAAAGACACTCTTCTTCGGGACCACAAACTAGAAATGAATTATTGCTTTTAATTGAATTGTCTGGGTCATTCATGTAGATGCCCTCAGTGGGGGCTGTTATTTGATGAGACTAACTGGAATCAAGCTGCTGCTGATGGAGCCTGTACTACTCAGATTGTCACCATTGTTGCCTGGATCTATCACAGCAGACGTGGCATTATACTCACCTTAGTATCCTAGGCACAAAGTAAAACACTTACGTTTCTGATGCAGAGGCTACTGCTGCATGCCAGACTGTGACTCCTTTCAAAAGTCCTGTTGTCTAGCCTTGAGTGAGACCACATAGCACAGAGCATGGCCCGTTACCCACTCTTGGCTGTTTGGCTATATCAGACCTTTGGCTCCCTGTGGGGGTTATCATCAGTACCTCACCACTGTTGACATGTTTTTCAGGTTAGTGCTGCTTTTCTAGTTCAGTCATTTCCAACCACACTATTTTGGTCTTCAAACTAATCTGTCTGATATTTTTGGTTATTTTGATCACATGCAGTTGGACAGTGGTGCAACTGTGGCTGTCAGTCAAGGTATTCGATGGACCTTAACTCTTTTTAAATTAATTTATTCTTTAAAATATATATTATTGATTTTTTACAGAGATGAAGAGAGAGGGATAGAGAGTTAGAAACATCGATGAGAGAGAATCATTGATCAGCTGCCTCTTGCACACCCCCTATACTGGGTGTGCCCGCAACCAAGGTACATGCTCTTGATCAGAGTCGAACCTGGGACCTTTCAGTCCGCAGGCTGATGCTCTAGCCACTGAGCCAAACCCGTTTCAGCAGGACCTTAACTCTTCCAATTTAGTATTGTTGACTGTTGGAACAGCCTATTTAAAAAATGTACTTGGAAGATTTCTGACTTTACCTCCCTAACCTCATCCTGGTAAGGCAGTTTGGTCACTAAATATGGCTGTCCACTGAAAGCTGTCACTTCCTCTTGACTGCTACGTTAGAGTTCTCTGAAGAAACATAACAAATAGGATATGTGTGTTTATATATAAAGAGATGTGTTATAAGGAATGGGCTGGATTATGGAGTTGGAGAAGTCCCATGATCTGCTTCTGGAAGCTAGAGAACCAGGGGACCCAAGGATATTGTTCCAGTCTGAGTCAGAAGGCCTGTAAACCAGGAGTAAGTTCTAGTTCAGAAGCAGAAGACTGTGCAAATAGGCAGAGAGTGAATTCTACCTTACCCAGACTTTTGTTCTATTCTGGCCTCCAACAGATTGGATAAAAGCCCATCAGCATTTCAGAGGGCAGTCTGCTTTACTGAGAACACTGATTCAAGTCTCATCCGGAAATACTCTCAGACATACCCAAAATAATGCTTAACCAAATATTTGGGGGGTCTCATGTTCCAGTCAAGACATAGAATTAATTATAGTTACTTACAGAGTAATGATCAGAATGAGGGATTGGGGAGTGTTGTATAGATTTATTTTGAAAATTCAGTATTCCCATGCCCTGACTGCTGCTGGATATGTTTTCTTTGCCATAATAGCGTCCCCAGGCCAACCTGGTTGCCACACCCTGCAGGTGGCACCTTAACCAAGAGGAGGCCTTAAGTATTCACATTTAATTCTGGTTTAGCCACCTGGGTTCTTTCGTTGGGTTGACATGGCTGAAGATACAATATTTGAAAAAAGAATCGCCCCTGAAGCCTTCCTCTCAGAGGAGAATGGCATAGTAAACTCCCCCAAACTGTTGTAAGCTCCCTAAACTTGTCTGATTACTGGTTTTGCCATCCCCACTAGGTGACTCTGACCGCAATTTGATAGCCATTTCCTTTAATCTACTGAGAAGTTTATTGGAAAAATCACTACTTTCAGCTCCTATACTTTCATGCACATCATGTCACAACTTCAAGAACCTCCCTCGTAGTTCTTAGTTATCCTATGGGGAGGGCAAATGCCACCTGGCTGGCTGGTTGTGTAGGCGTGTAGGAAGGTTGGACTAATCACCATTAGGCAGTCTTTCCAAAATAAAGACTGGTTTCAATTGTTCTAAGTCAGTGGTTCTCAACCTTCCTAATGCCTCGACCCTTTCATACAGTTCCTTGTGTTGTGGTGACCCCCAACCATACAATTATTTCCCCTGCTACTTCATAACGGTAATTTTGCTACTGTTAATGAATCATAATGTAAATATCTGGGTTTTCTGATGGTCTTAGGCGACCCTGGTAGCGGTTCTCAACATGCCATTTTATTTTTTGAGCAGGGGTGGCCCAATCATCCGGCTCTCTGGGCCTTTTAGTGGAGCCCCCTCTGAGGGCCGGAACCTTTGCTTGCCTCTCGGGCTGTCCGGGGAAGTTTTAGGCGGTGATACCCACCCGCCAATAGAGGGGGAGGGAAAACTGGGGAGGGGGCGGGGGAGGAAAAGGAAGGGAGGGGGCGGAGCCAGAGCTGCGCCGCCTTTGGGAGACGTGGCAGGCCGAAAGCCTGAGCTGAGCTCCGTCCCGGGTAGGTGGTCGGAGAGGAAGGGTCAGGCTCTTCACCCCGGCGGGGACCGGCTGGGGGCCGCCGAGAGCGGGGGCGGGAGGCCGGCGGCGAGGGGCGGGGCGGGGCCGCAGCACCGGGCGGGGGGCGGGGCCGGCT